GAGAGAGAGAGAGAGAGAGAGAGAGAGAGAGAGAGAGAGAGAGAGAGAGAGAGAGAAAGTGACAGCCAGGAAGAACAATGCAGTCCCACTGGAGTCTTCTTTCTGGTCTACCAAATGAGCATCTATCCTGCCTTGCCCATAGAGCTTATCAAGCTTTCCTGAGAGAAGGATGAAATCCAAGGAATTGCACACTGTATGATGAGCTTAGCGCAAAAGATGACAGTTATTTAGATGGGCCTTGGGGACTGTGGAAGCAGCTCAAGACCCTCCTGTGCCTGGCTGGGCGCTGGTGCTTTTGCAGACACTAGATGGTGCACAGCAATGAGCAAAGCCTTGACTCCAGCTGCCATGGTGGCACAGGCTCCAGGGTGGGGAGGTCTGTGTTCTGAACGATGCCTGAAGCCTTTGGCATGATCATCTGTTCTTTTCCATTAATATCTCCAACAGTCATAGGAAGTGACCCTCTCGTCTCGTTCATGAACACCTGGGCTGCTTCCTATCTTTCAGAGCTCCAAGGTCCTAGCCAAGAAGGAGCTGGCCTATGTCCCAATAATTGGCTGGATGTGGTACTTCACTGAAATGATCTTCTGCACACGCAAGTGGGAACAAGATCGTCAGACAGTTGCCAAGAGCCTGATGCACCTCCGGGATTACCCCGAGAAGTACTTTGTATGTACTTCAAGCGCAGCATGTCCTTCCACCTCCTGTGGGGTTGTGTGTGCTATGGGTGAACACAGAATTGCGTGTGACCCCTGGCATGTGTGTGGCTGTGCAGTCCCGTGGCCAGGCGTGTGTGTGATCTCAGGGTTGTGCCAGGGACCCTGTGTGACTATCATCCCCTGCCTTCCAGTTCCTGATCCACTGTGAGGGCACACGGTTCACAGAGAAGAAGCACCAGATCAGCATGCAGGTGGCCCAAGCCAAGGGGCTGCCCAGTCTCAAGCACCATCTGCTGCCACGCACCAAAGGCTTCGCCATCACTGTGAGGTGCTTGAGAGGTGTAGGTAAGGATGATGACTGTCCCTGGGCCTCTGCTTCCTGCACCCTCGGATCTGTAGAGCTTTCTGTGTTCCTGCCCAGCAGCTAGGGTGGCTGCTAAACTGGGCCTCCAAAGGCATTCACAACCTGGGTCTAGGCCAGGAGTACACCTCTTAGAACACCTTGTTGGTGCAGGCCAGCAAACACTGCCCTCTTCTGGCCAGCCTGGGCACTGCAGGGCAATGTGGTGTGCCCTGGATCCCTGGAGGCCCCCTGGCCCATAGGGTCCTTGGGGTCAGTCTGGCCACAGGGCTGCAGATCAAGGAAGCCCCTCTGGAACTTTAAGGTACTTCTTGCCAATCTGCTGCCATCAGCTGCCTGCAAATGATGAACTAGACTTGTGGTCTGTGGCTGCTGACTTGTGAATCTGGAGTCCTAAATCTCTGTAGGTTACAAGAAAATAGCAGCAACAGTTTCCCTCAGGCCACTGCTCATGGGATTTTCTGCCTCCTTTTTAGTCTTCTTCTAGTTTAAAACAGCCTCCCTTGTCCTCCCACACGCCCCTGCTCTCAAACGCTCACTCCCACTTCCTGGGCTCTCAAGGGGGCTGCAGCCCCAATCCCTGGGCCTGGATGGAGCTTGTAGAGCATCTGGAGTGGTGTAGTGTTCCCACCTGCCAGCATGCCGAGGATAGGCCAGGCTGCACCCGGTTAGGAGGGGTGGCAAGACTGGACCCTGGCCCATGCTGCCAGCTCGTAGCCTTGTCCTCCTCTGTCCTCTCTTCTTCATGGAGCAAAGATCAAGAGTTGCCACACTTCTCCAGGCCCGAGACAAGCAGTTAGCCTGAGCACTGAAGGTATTCTGAGATGTCATAATCTTCGATGTTGCCCACCTCTGGCCGGAAGGCAGTCCAACTTCTCAAGACTGGGGAGAGCGGTCTTGGGCACTTGGCATCTGGTCCCCAGGCACTCCCGCAGGCCAGCAGAAGAGCCCCTCTGCCAATGGCAAAGATAATGGACCTGCACGCCCCCCATGGGTCAGGCAGTGGGGAGAAAACAAATGGCAATTTTATCATGTTTGAATCCAGTTTCTTCATATTCCCAACCAGACCAAAGAAAGGTCTTTCGACCCTTCCTATCATTCCCCACTCCTCATTTTATTGATAGCATCTGTATCATACCCAGCTCTCATGGAAAGGCCAGGCCCACGTTATAAGTGAACACAATGTGCTGAGCCCTTCGGTGAGTGCCACTGTATGACAAAGGCACCGTGAGCCCACTGAGGAGAATCAGGCTCGGGGAGCTGAGCTGCCTGCCTGAGCAGGCCCTCCCCTCACGCCATGCCCTGCCTGACCCTCAAACTCTTGCGTGTCCTGGACATCAGTAGGCTTCCACCATGTACGGCCACGCTCCATCCACTCAATGGCTTGCAGGGCTATCTTCCACTCTCTGACCCAATAAGCGCTTCTTGAACACAAGCCAGGGCCTGGGGCTACAGCAGTGACTCTTGACTTAACTTCTACCACACGGGCAGGTTACTTCATTGTTGAGTAGAACTATTAAAACCCAGATAGCTGGGCTGGCAAGATAGTTCAGCAGTCTAAAGCACCTGCTTAGGCAAGTACAGGGACCACAGTTCTATCCCTGGCACCACATGCCATGCCAGCCCTGCTCCCAGGATGGGCTGAGATGGCCAGGAAAAAAAAAAAATCCCAGATAGTTGTCTCAGCATTTCATTGAGTCAGTGTCTTACCCTAGGTTTGCAGCTGTCTTATTTTTCTAGGGAAACTAAATGCCCAGAGAGAGATATATTTCTGTGACGTAGACACATCCTTATATAATATACTTTGGATTAATTTGTTTCCTATTATTTGTTTAAATATCAGCATTTGTTGCCCATGATAGGCTCTGCCTAATGGAGAGCTGCAGATTACTGCTGTTATAGTTCTAGATTCGGCAGGCACAGACCACAAGTCCAGTTTAAAACTTGAAAACTAGGGCCGGCCAAATAGCTCAGCAGATTAAAGTGCCTGAAAGCAGGCAAAAGGGCCTGCTGTGCTGGGCCCACTGCACCAGGCCTGCCCCCAGGGTGCGCTGAGATGGCAATTGAGACTGGGCGTGGTGGCACGTGCCTGTAACCCCAACTCATGGGAGGCTGTAAACAGGTGGATCACTACAAGTCCGATCTAGTAGTGAGACCCAGAACACCCTGTAGACCCTTCCCTAAAATACAAAAAAAAAA